TACAAACACACATACACACAGACACACACAGACACACAGACACATAGACACACAGACACACAGACACACAGACACACAGACACACACACACATATATATATATATATATATATATATAGCGCATGAGTAGTTGATTACCTGGCCCGAACATATGTCCTTACAACTGACTAAAAATATTTATCAATCATTATTACACTGCGTAAGATGTTGCAGAAAGAGAAATTCGTCATTTCATGAGAGTATCGATGTGGAACCTCACAAAAGGCTCGAGCACATGGCAAACACTCACACACAGACACTGTAGATATTAGACACATGGCTAACAATGACAGGTATAGCAATGTTGAATAGCATTCTAACTGGTATGGTCATACTACTAGAGTCGGATCCGTGGGTAACCACTTAAGCACTGACTCGTAGACTTGTCTTCAGCACGTGCTTTGATATTGATAATCGTGATAGATACATGACAGTCTACAAACGTTTGAGAGAGAAAGTCTAGATATTGTAATAAACCCTAGACCATAAGCCCCAAACCCCTGAAACAACCCGTTACTTAGGAGAAGGCAGTTGAACACACAACAAACACACACAACTTCGTACACATGCATATATCGTATATAGATAGTGGGTAAACATGGTTTACATAGCGTATGTAAATATGTAATAAACCGGGTTTAATGTCTGCTTTAGAGTGAAATAGCCGGCTGTAGGCAGACTGGGGCGAGTTGGAGGTGCGCAACAGCATGCACTCTTCACCAACCGCTACTTCAGTAATCAAAGACAAGGCAGCTGAAACGCAACTAAAACACGCACTAGTCCACAAACACACACATTCCCACATATCCACATACACCATATGTAGATAGAACACAAACATGCTTTGCCTGCCGTATGTAGGTAGGTGTCGAATCTGGCCAAGTATCTAATTTCTAACCCCTACCTTAGAGAGGAACAGCCTGTTATCTGCAATAGGCTGGGAGGAGTTGGAGGTGTGTAGCAACATGCACTCTTCGCCAAACGCGTTGTCTGAAACCGGCAGGATGTCTCTAAGTACCTGTAGGATGGTTTCTTCGTTTGCCAGGCCCAACACCACACCGTCTAGTGTGGGTGTGGTGCTTTCTTCGGAGAAGCTTTGCAGAGCTGTATACAGGTGGATGACGATGCATGGAGGTAAGCGGATCACGTACAGATACGGGTGTACTTGGCAGTACAGCTGTGGCTTTGTTATACTACATAAGGTATACCTACATTAAACATATCTACGTAAAGTATACCTACATAATATACACAACCCATTGCTTCTCATCAGCTCACAGCAGATACTGTCAGCCTCAGCCGGAACGTCACTGCAGTGTAAACTCATGCTCACTCACATAAAAACTGTGACCGGGATGTGCACTCACAAACTTAAACTAACACACATGGAAGTCACATAACAAACCAGTCACCAAGTGTACAAAATATAAAGTCACCATATGTACAACAAACAACAAACAACTCACACAATTAAACTGACACACATGGAAGTCGCATAACATAACAGTCACCAAGTGTGCAAATACAAAGTCACCATATGTACAATAGACAACCAACAACTCACACAATTAGACTGACACACATGGAAGTCACAAAACATACCAGTCACCAAGTGTACAAAATACAAAGTCACCATATGTACAACAAACAACCAACAACTCACACACTTAAACTAACACAAATGGAAGTCACAAAACATACCAGTCACCAAGTGTACGAAATACAAAGTCACCATATGTACAACAAACAACTAACAACTCACACACTTAAACTAACACACATGGAAGTCGCATAACATAACAGTCACCAAGTGTGCAAATACAAAGTCACCATATGTACAACAAACAACCAACAACTCGCACAATTAAACTGACACACATGGAAGTCACAAAACATACCAGTCACCAAGTGTACAAAATACAAAGTCACCATATGTACAACAAACAACCAACAACTCACACAATTAAACTAACACACATGAAAGTCACAGAACATACCAGTCACCAAGTGTGCAAAATACAAAGTCACCATATGCACAACAAACAACCAACAAACAACTCACAGTGGCTCCTTGAGATGACCTTGCGCTAAACATCGCCCGCGGGGGCTGTCTTCGCGGTACACACTCTAGTCACACACATCGAACCAACGGTATGTGATATCCACACAGCCAAGTTTACACCAACGCATATGAACATTCAGACACATTCATGATAGCATATGTAAACACACAGCCACTCGCTCAATGGACATTACTACATGTAGACAAACAATCACTCACTTAATGGTCATACAGACACATACATGATACTATATGTAAACACACAACCACTCGCTCAATGGACATTACTACATGTAGACAAATAATCACTCACTTAATGGTCATGCAGACACATACATGATACCATATGTAAACACACAGCCACTCACTTACAGAACATAATGAAAGGCTCTTTGAGGCCCACCACCTTCCCCCTGATATTGCCTGCAGGAATGTCTTCCCAGTGCATACTCTGGTCACTGACGCCTAGTACAATGCCCGTCTGGTCGGTTCCTCCAGCGCCCTCGGCGTACCTACTCAACAAGTCTCCGCGAATGAAAAACGAGAAGCACACGCTATAAATAGACATCATATTATTGGCCACCGTCACGGGCACGGCGACACAGTAGACAGTGTGGGGATACGGATCCTCGGCATTGGCATTCGTGTCGCTTTCATTGGCTGAGGGGTTGGCGACGGGAGTATTTGAAGCGGTTTGATTGGCGGAGGCGTTCATGTTGGAGTTGCTAGAGTTTATGGTTGTGCTGCCGCTGGTTGAGACTGCGAGAGGGATGGAGCAGACAAGAATTGGCACAGAACATCTGAGATTTACTGTCGGTTCTAAAAGACATATTAAATGTTTATTGTGGTTGGTTAGGGTTTTAGGTTTTAGGGTTTCAGAGTGTAGGGTTTAGGGTTACACCCTAAAACCCATGTGCCGGAAACTGGTTGTATATCATGTTGGTGGACTCTCCTCCAGACATAGCACGAGGCAATACATAGACGAAGCCCATTCACCTAGGACCTACACAGAAACTACCTTCAGACCTGCCTTATGATATTTATATCTGGGTGTAGGGTGTGAGGCTTTCGTCGCATACCTAACACAGTTATAGAATGACACGAGACCGTGCTCAGCGGCGACACGCATAGCGCACCAGTTACCAACATACTCACCAAGCAGAAAGAATACACGGAAAAGGTGTAGCACGACCCAAATGTAATGTCGCAAATTCTCACCGAATTTAGAAGCCTATATTTTTTAGACAACATCGCGTGTCGCAAATTGCATACACGGCAAGTAACTATACAAAAACGAAGTATGTTTAATAGAATTTGGATACAACACACCCACGTTTAAAATATACATCATAACTACAGTATAGAATGCGATATACGACAAATGTGAAAAATGACAAATGCAAGATACGACAAATGCGAAATGTCGCAAATTACATACCGGGTAACAAGGTACTCTGTACCCTCCTGGCGGTTGCTGAACTGGTGCCGGTATGACTGGTGCTGAGTCCCTGCCGCACCATAAATGGTAATACATTTGAGATAAACAACTGGCACCTCACTCGGTATAACGCACGAAAAAGGTCTATACGTACATATATAGGCATGACAATGGAGACTTTTAAGCGTTACACTTTTGGAATGGGATGTTCATAGTCCCCAGTACAACTCTTGAAAAGAGTTTATACGTCTATCCTAATTCGTTGTGTTGTCAGATATACTCCCATCTTACAAATATAAGCATACGAACAAGTCGTACAACTAAACACCTGTGGGCCAAAATATATTAAACACATCCAGTTCATCCAGTTACAGGGCATAAAAGATTCAGCTCTTGATTAAAGAGCATCTAATTACACCTTATAAATCATTGAACACATTCTATAAATCTATAAATACATTCTATAAATCTATAAATATATTCTATAAATCTATAAATACATTTTATAAATTTATCAAGATATTCTACAAATTTATAAATACATTCTATAAATCTATAAATACATTCTATAAATCTACGAATATAGATAGGAATCTGCTGGTACATACCTGAGTATCGCTTGTACTTGACGTTCCGCGGGTCATGGCTGTGGCTGAATTTGAGCTGGAATGCCTTTTTCCGGGTGATTTGATTGGCTTAAATTTAACACTTTCTGCTCTATCGTTCAACCCCGATTCGGATCCAATTGTAGCTAAGTTGGTGTGCGAAGATCCAAGACCCATTCCTGTGAAAAGGGTTTAGGGTTTAAATAATATGTATACACACGCACACGCACACGCACACCCACCCACCCACACACTATATA